CAAAATCGGAGTAAATCACTCTCCGAGTTTCTCCGAAATGAGAGTAAATCGTTCATATTTTTTTCACAAATTGGGAGTAAATTCGACCAAATTTTTTAAAAAAGTATGGGAGTGGGGGGTAAAGTAAAGTAATAAAGTGGGGGCCATCTCAGGATGATTCCATGGCAGTGTCTGCTTTTGAACTAAATATGCCTGTCCAAAGTATTCCAGAGACGGCTCAAATCGACCGAGGCAACGATAAACTTCCCCTGTGTTATTTAAACAGTTAGTCAACTTGAGATGATCAGGAGATAGGTGCTGTTTTGTACTCGAGGCTATCGATCCAAAGTGTCAATGTAAAACCGACAATTAGTGATCGCAAGGACGCATAAACATACCATGATGCAAAAATAATTTTCGTTTTTCTATGTTCAGCCGATAGAGCATCATAGAGTCATCTAAACTTCTCGTCGAGTAGATGAGAAATTTTGTTCCAAGTTTAACATTCCTTAAATATCTCTTCCTGGTACTATAGAAGACGCAAGTTTCCAGAATGACATTAATTTCCTCCCTGTATAAATTCAAACTTGATCCGACGGGGCTGAAATGCTTTTCCCGAATACTAGATGTAAATACAAGGTTCCGACCAAAGCCCGAACGTAAAAGTTTTCCTTTCGACTTACATAGGAATATAGGGAATTAACCTGGACTACTAAAACATAATTTCGTAGAGTTTGGAAAGCTATTCGACTCATGTGCGAAATATGTGATGTCAATTTCCTAAAAATAATCGAAACGTCGAAACTACCTATTTTGTTCATTTTTGGTTGTCAGTTATTAACTAAACATTTTACCCACATGGAACAGATGGAGATGAACTTAATCTTGTCCCGACTAATGGAGGATACCTAAACGTGCCAAGAAACGACCTGAGATCTTTTTTCTGTCCATCTGAACATGGGTTTCAAAATCCAAAATCGTTGTCAAAAATGTTTTTATTTTTTGAAAGTTTTGGGGCATTTTGGTTTCTGTTCAATCAAGACGGAATCTCAAGTCTCAGGATCATCTCCTATATACCATTTTGTAGAGAATTAAATGATGAATCTTCTGCAAAAAACAGCTGAATTGTACCACATGTATTTCATATAAATAACGTCAATTTATAAAGCGGGTCAGAACTTAGTACCCACCCTTAATGTTCCCTCGTTAGTGACGTTTCCAGTCCATGAAAAACACTCGACTTTTCCCATAGTACTATAATGTGTTATTTTCTTCTTTTTCTTTTTGGTATGCATACATTCGAAAATATGAGAACAGTCAGCCCATGGTTAGAATTTATGTAAAAGATTGTTTGCCAATATCAGATAGAAAAATATTTTAAAATTATTTGCGTGCAGATTGAGTAACAAGTAGAAGCGTGAGAGCTTTTTGGCTTCGGTTGACTCGGCTACAACTTGATGAAGGTCCATAGGCCATACTCTTTCACTTGAATCTACCCTTCTCAGTTTGTGAAAACAGTAATATATGTTTCATGATACTGCGTACACTGATTTGCTCTTATCAAGATATATGACTGAATCGTACTCAAGTACATACGCAAACCAACTATATGGACACTTGTGACATAGAAAGAGATAGTCTGAAGGCGATGGTTATTGCTTGTAATTGACTTCAATAACGTATAAACAAACGTCTCAATTTCGTTTATTTGAAGCTAAAGTCAAGTGAGTAGATGTAAAAAATCGTTCTCTCTATTTATTTTAGTTTATGCCAATAGGAGCAAGAAATTTCAATGTATTTAACTAAACAAAGGACGAATTTCTTATGAAAAAAATTATCGTGATGAAAACAAAGAATTTAAGACTACCAATGATATTTGTTGTTGTGTTTTACTGGATTATATTTGCGTTTTAACTGTATTGTGAGTTCAACACGAAATCAGAGACGGTGCCAAGGAAAAAAATGGAGAGAGTGTACCACTAAAGAGTAAATAGAGATAGGACCGGATTCGAAAAAATTTTCTCCGCAAAGATGGTTTACATCCAATCACTGAACAAAGATATAGCTAAAAATAAACTTTTTATTCAAATAACTGCGAACATACGATTTATTAATCGATTTTTCTGCGAATATGTAAATAATCGTAAAGAGCTAGATTTCTTTAATCAGACTCTTCGACTATTTTATATACTCATTACTATCCTTAAAAGTAGTTTGTATATATTAAATTAAAGTCAAAATCAATTAAATTAAAAATTCTATTTTTCTCAGTTGTTATCGTATACGTGAGAATAGATTCTGTCAATTGTCTGATCTAAAGTGAATGTTCTAAAGAATAGTTCAATACAGTTATTCTAATAATTGATAAATAGGAACAATGACTAGTTTAAAGTTGTGTTCAATAAAGTCATCAATGGTTCATTGACATTCATAAAAGGTTGTGAACACACAGATGTCTCATCTATGCATGATACACAGATATAATGAACGAACATAGAAGAGTGGCACCATCAGGTAAAAGTATGTTTGCTTAGTAATTGATTAAAATGATTTGACTGAGTACGTTGGAATGTTACTATGCATATAGTGATAAACAATATCTAATTTTATGTAGTTCGATCTTTTTTCTTTCTTTTTCTCTACATCATATTTCTTGAAATTTATTTCGTATAAGAACAAATATTTTAACACTTCCTGGATGAGTGACAAACAATTTATTTGTGTTATTATTTAAATATAGTCAATATATGTAACAAAATGGTAAAATATTTCGTTTAAAAGTATACAGCAGGATAAGAAGTTGTATTATTTCTAAATATATCAGTAATGTATTGCAAAGAAAAAAAGAATATCGAAGTCCTTCCAGTTTCGTGGACAAATGTATGCCATAAATGTACCTATTAATTGATTATTCATTCATTCACTGAAGCTTTTAAATCTTCATTGTACAAATATGGTTTCTTTGAACTAATCATTTACACCAATGTATACAAAATGAGACTATTCAAACTATTTTGACATTATTTTTTTTGAAATTTGTCGTCATTTTGGTTTGTAGATTCATTCATGGATATACATGACAAACATTTCTTTAAAAAGAAATGCGTTAGCTCTTGAAATTTTGAAAGAATGTGATTTTTCTAATCACACATCACAATTATTCTGTAAAAGTACTGCTGTTAATATACTTTTCGTATAAAATGAAGATTTACTTTTACTTTACACACTCTATTGTTTTGCTTTTTTTTGTATTATGAATATACAACAGATCTAATAAATACCATATCTAATTTAAATTAATGTATGTATTGACAATGTATTAGGAAATTTTCTTCTCTACTAATTGTATCCGTCTTTTCACACATACATCTCTCGAATCATGTTCTATTGTATTTTCATTAATATTTCATTATGATTTTTGAAGTCGTCATATTGTTTCCCGGTTGTTTCCATTACTTTTTCACTTTTGTATTTTATAAAAGAAAAAAAAAAAAGAAGTGATTTCTCTTTTTTCAAGCATTTTTAATTTTAGTTGACAATAGAAATATAAGAAAAAAACTTGTACATTTTCAACATATATTTACTTGTCCAATTTAAGTTAGTTATTCTATATTTGTTCACATACCGAAAGGCATATGCAACACATACAGAAACAGAACGAAAGAGAGTTTTTCATTCTTGTGTTGCGGTTATTGATCAAATGTAAAAAATATATATGTAACTGACCGATCTTTCGTGAAATTAAACATGTACCGTATACATATTCCGGTAAGAGAAACAGAGAAAAAAAATGAATCCTTATGTTCAATCTACACATCTACACACACCACACATGCCTAATCACAGACATTACACATTTTTTATGTCAATTCACTCATGAGAAATGATGATGATGATTACCTGTTTTCTTTTATTTTCATATATATATATTATTACTCATTCTCTTTTGTTTTTTCACAGTCTGGCTTCTTTTCCACGAGTGGATTCTGTTCTGTTCTATTCCTACATGTGTTCACAATTGTTGAAGATTGTACGATTAAAAGTAAATGAAAAAAAATTGTTTTTTTTTTTAATTTCATAGTATATGATGTCTGTTATAAGACATTGAACAGTTGTTGAAACAAAAGACAAGACTTTGAAATTACGTAAGTTCAATTTAAGTAAGGATTATATTCTGATAGTAGGTATTTCTTCTACAGAAATGATATGTCAGAGATAAATCAAACTTTTTTTCATTGAACTTCAATAGTAATAGTTTTTACTATTCAAAGGAAAAACTATGTCACAAATCGAGTCAATTTCTTTATAAAGATAAGACTTTATTTTGTTTTGTGTATAGCAAGCAAGAAATATTGCACCATACATGTTCGAGAGATTGTAGGATATCATATCAAGTTTGTGTGTGGTACCTAAGTATACGTGTGGAACATTTATTTTAATACAATATTTATAGCACAGTAATTTGTGTCCAGTTCGTTAGATACAACTGTATTCTGTTTCATTTGTTCTCTTGTGTGTATTTATACAAATGTATCTAAGTATGATAAATGACTCTATATCATCTGTTGTTATTAACAAAGATGAACGATGATAATATTGTTTGTAGAAATGTACAATAAAACTAATCAGAATACGTAAGAGTGATAATTTAAGAAGACAATTAAAAACAGAATATGATCAATAAATTTTTTCTTATATTACACGTTTTTTTTAGCCTTTTAAGAAAATCTTTCATTTTTTTTTCATTTAGATATAAATGTCAAAGTGTCAGTGTCCATGTGAACTTGTATTAAAAGTTGGTTGCAATGAATCGGATGAAATATCGAGTGCATTAACAAATTTACTACGTTCATGTTCAATAAGTGAAAATAATTTTTTTGTTATTGAATGTCAGACTCAATCGACATCGTATCTTGGCTCATTAACAACAATAATAACAGCATCCTCATCATCTAACTCATCAGTCGATGATGTACAACAAATTTCATCTCAATCATTGAGTTGTGTTTTACTAATAACTGATGATATTCTAAAACGTCAACAACTTGTTTCATCTTTATCATCGATTAGTTCAAATATTAACAGTAACAATGGTAAATTACCAAAATCAAAATATTTTTTCAAATCATCAATATGGAATTTTCATCATAAGATTGAATTATTAGATGAATATAAATCGACAATTGCTCGACAAGATTATTATGAATTATCAAAACATTTACCATTATGGTCTATATCACATGTACCATTGAGTCGTCTACCAATCGTTCGTTTTAATATATTCACGCAACAATTTGATTTAATGGTTAAATTCTATTCTTCACTATTTCAACATAAACCTGAATCGATTAAACCCGGTTTTGTTCTCTACATTTTACAACATTCTCAAACAAAAATTGTGCAATTTTCTATTAAATTTTCTCCATCCATTAAATCTTATTGTCTATCTCAAACATCACATTTAAAATTTCGTTTAAAAACATTAAGTACACAATTGCAAACAGAATATAGTAGCAAATTATTTTATTTAAATAAATATGAATATTGCATACATGATCCAGGTATAAAAAAAATGTCAGTTAATTTATCTAATAGCAAAAATCATCTTAAAACTAGAAAATAGAAATAAATATCCATGTATTTTTTTTTACTTTAGATGGAAATTTACTACACATTCATTTATTGACTAATGAGCAAACAGCAACTTGTGTACAAGAACCATCTCTACGGACAGTAAAACATCATCAGGAAATCTGTACAAATGATAGTGGTGTTGGAGACAGTGAATCACAATTGAACTTGTTCAGTTCTGTTATACCTCAAGGATATCATCCATATTCCCAGCAAAAATTATCAATTGGACCAACATTAACTACAAAAACAAATAGTACAACACCACAAGATCAAGATATTCATAGTCATTCAAGTCAATCGAGTCATGATTCTGGCAGATGGAGTTCTATATCATCCAATGAATTAGCAACCTTACGAACGATAACAACAACAACTGCAAATACATTAACAAATAGAAATAATTTTGAAAATATGAGTAACGAATATAAACAACAGCAAGTAAATTCAAATAAAGAAAGAGAAAAAAGTATGTATTCTAGCGTAAGACAGTAAGATTGAGTGTCGGATTTTTTACATATATTATGATATTAATAAAAAATTTATTTTGTTTTTGAGTCTTTGGAACGGTTCATAGCAAGCCAACCTTATATGAAAGTGAACCACATTTATTAGCGAATTTAACTCTATATGACTCAAACAGCTCGTCGACTAGTAGATATTATTCATCAACGAGCTCAATCGGGAGGCAAACATCATTCATACAAAATAATAATAATAATAATCAAAAACATATACGACTTACAGCTCATGACACTTTCGGACAACCGACTCAAACATCGACACCATTACATCTCTCAAAAAGTACACATCTTCGACCATTTCAAGAAGAAAAACGGCAATCACAATTGTTTGATCAAACATGTGATGTTTCGTATGAAGTTGACTCGCCTCGAAATAGTAATTGTGATAATAGCCGTGATTATGTGAAAAAAGAAAATGTTGAAGGCTATTTAAACGCATTTTTACAGAAAAAGAATAGAAAACATCAAAATACAACAACATTAATATTGCCGAAAATTCAACAAGAAAAGCAACATAATATGAATGATTCTTCTCTAAGACGATTTTCAAATGATGAAAAACAACGAACAAATTCAATTAATGTTAAAGCATTAATAGCTCAATTTGAAACATCTAGAATAGAACGTTCCCCAGTCCGTCCATTATCCGCTCCACTAGTACAATCAACAACAAATCGTAAACCAAAAAGTATTTTACATCGTCGTAGTATTACAACATCAATCGATGTTCACAAATGTGATACAAATATTAATTCATCAAGAAAACGTTCAAAATCTGTCACATTTGATTGTAATGGAAATCAAACAGACGATGAAGATGAAGAAGAAAATAATATTGAACAGAGAATAAATCGTCCATCGTCATGTATTGATTTTGTGAAACAAGAACGACAAATACCAATTCAATTTTATACATATCATACACGTGATGGTACTAGAAGTCCAAAATTGAATATTGGCATAACACTCGATTCAAGATTAAGAAAAACACCTGTATTAGAAATGATCCGTAGTTCAGCCATGCCCGAAGAAAAACTATGTGATCCAGAATTAATTGATCTATTGAAAAGGACTAGTTCATTGAGACGTGCCAATAGTTATATAACAGCTAACACATACAATATACCAGTAGCACCAATTGCAAGATTCTAATTCTTCTACATTTTTTTAGCTTTTTATTTGTAAATATTCTAACAATTCTCTCTCTTTTATTTGTTTAATACAGTTTTAACCAATGAATAATAAATAATATCCTCGTAATACCAGACCAAAACAAGGTCGTCGACGGAGAGAAAAAAGATTCAAATGCACAATTTCATCAACTACTAGAACATCACGTTCTATAAGTATCTATCATATCAAGTAATAACTAAGAAAAATATCCTAATCTACAATCCAAAAGTAATTACACAAATGTCAGGCATTCTTTCGGTACGTTTTTCCTCAAATACTATAGAGTAAACTTTTTTCGCTTGGAAAGAGCAAAGGTCCACCTCAAAAAGTATAAAAAACAAGATTTTTGAGCTTGAGTGGGAATGAGAAAAAGTTTAAATCTCAAACGTCACCAAATAAACTCTTCTAATGACCGTTACTTTCTCATCAAGCGTTCTTTTTCCTCAGATTATCTAATTATCGAAACTAGTAATGTGTTTATGTCTCTTTCGAGTGGGATATGACAAAACATGTTTTGATCAGCATTATCGGTAATTACTATAGGATTCAAAATATAAGATACTATGCGCCTCTTTGAATAACTCGGTAATGCAAAGCGATATTCCCAAACGGTGTTCGTCAGTTTGTAGCCAAGTCCGGGGGACATCGAGCTATAGAAGAAGAAAAATTTTCGGTCGGGTTGCTAGAGGGTTTTTTTTAGGTGGATCTTTAGAAAACCACAATGATTTTCAAGGATCCAACATTGAATTTTCATTTTTAACACATGTATTCGGTAGAGAAAATTGTTCTCTTTCGAACTACGTAAAGCCGGTGTTTCTAGCCTGTTCCGTTCAGGAGTTATAAGGATTTTCCAAAGGCCCTCGATTTCGGCCAGTTGTCCCTGGATTAGCCGAAAATAGGTCTGAAGAGGAGTAATCGATCACGCTGAGTCGAGTGATGATGTTTGTTTCCAGTCTCAAAGCTATCTGAAGTCACCAGCTCAAAGTTTTCGAAACATTGTCACTTTCTGGTACATAGCGAAAACAGTTGGATTTCGAAAACTTTGAGCTGTTGACTTCAGATAGCTTTGAGACTGGAAACAAACATCATCACTCGACTCAGCATGATCGATTCTATATTTTGGTCGATCTTATATTTTGAATCCTATAGTAATGATATAATTTTTTCTCAATTTGATAATAATTCATCACTTTCTCAAATTCTGCCAATAAAACGTTAGGTTTACGGTGACCTTTTAGTAGCGTTAACGGCAGCAAATATGATTTCAATTCATCATCAATAAATGTATGTGAAGTAATGCTAATAAGGAACGTAATCGAGAGGCAGTCCACACATTTAATGCGACCGACACATATTCACTATCATTACTTAATGTTTTTTATTTTTTCACCCTTTAATCAACCATTCAATTAACTCTATATTTATTTAGTTAAATTTAGTGACAAAAAATAAAGATCGATGAACGTACAATGGAAAAAAAATACAATGGACCAAATACAATTTCCAAGTAAGATACATTAGAGTTCAGTTATTACATCTTTAGTTTTTAAAAGTTTATCAATCGTTCTTGGTTTATTTATCAAACTCCTCATTATTTTTTCTCTGATCAAAGAACCAAGTGCGTTTCGAAAACTTCGTCCACTAATACAATAAATAAAAAAATGTGAACAAAAATTTAAATCTTTCATAAATTCACATAGTGTTCGTATTAATAAATATGATGAAAAACCACTTGATGTAAAACATTTGCCAAATAATCCTGTACGAGGTATAATTCTCATAACTGTAAATGGCATAAAGTAGAAAATAAACATAACAGTGACAATAAACAACATAATAATTAATTGATTTTCATTTGTCTCTAGCCGTTTATGTTTATATATGGCAGATTTTAGAATTGAACGTCGTTCGTTTAAAGCACGCCTCAATGTCCAACATGAGAGACAATTTCCAACGGTAATAATTGTTAATGGAATATATATATAAGCAAATTCTGTTATTCTTAAACTTATTTCAATATAACGTATCCATTCTTGTCGAGGTTGACATCGTGTGTTAATATTTTTATCCATTTTGATAACTAGTAATCTTGATGATGATATGGTGATTAATACAGCTGATAAAATCACTAATACTCTTGCACGATAGCCACTAATAAATTTTTTAATATGAAGTGGGAATAAAACAATTATTGCTCGTTCAGTTGTAATCAAAACAACTGTCCATACAGATACAAGAACAGCCGATTCGGCTAAAAATTGAAATGCAATACATAAAAATTTAAACGGACGTTGGTGTCGCTTATTTTCGTATGATAATAATTTACAAAATAATACGAGTGTATCTGATATAGCCAATGTTTTGGCATAAACAGCAAACGATGAACGATTTAATTGTTGATTTGTTTGAAGAACGATGATGGTTAATGAATTTCCAATCAACGAGATTACAGGTAAAACATAAATGGATGCTAACACTAATTTTATCTGAATAACATAAGCTGTTGCATTCAAATAAGAATTAGGTGAAGTGTCATTGCACATATAACGATTCATTTTCACTTGGCGTTCTAAAACGAGAGCGTAGAAGACAGATGATGAAATTTTCATAGTTTACGAAACGTTCTATATCCGTTTCGTCATTTTCTCATCGAGTGACTAGGACCGCTACAGTCGTTCGTGGGGCAAAAACTTTTCAGTTCGTCATCAGTGATGAAACAAAGTGGAACTAACTGACATTGATTTAGTTTCTTTTATTCATGACAAATTCATCAGATAAGTAGTCACTCAAGTAAATTGACGAAACAAAGATGAGTAGTGGAAAATGCAATGAAAAACTTTATGCGAATCATTGAGTTTTCTGAGTAAAACTACAATCTCTCAGTAATACACTCTCCGTAGCATAGTCATAGCCGAATAAAATTGTAGAGCAGCAAAATATAATAGTAGATAGCAAAATGTCGAGTAATATACAACCCAATCTAATTTTTACGCGTTTATGTCTATGTATATAGTCTCGTCATCAAACTTCATAGAAATAAAGCACGAATATCGACTCAGAAGAATGATAGACCTTCGACAAATCCTCACAAATCGTCCCTAATAAAAAAGGTGTACTTTAAAACCAGTAAACGACTCGAGTATACCTTTTTACATTTAGACGTGAGTTCGAAAATCTTCTATGATTCCCTAAAATATCATTCGAACTATTAGAAGTGTGAGAATTCAAGCAGTTTCCGAGAAAAGTTTTCAGCTCTGAGTTCCTGTGATGAATTACTTCCAAACCGTATTGGAAAGGACTCTTTTCGGTGTCGTAAACAATTTTTTCGTAAACCCATCTCTTTTCGAGAGTTTGAAAACTTTTCTTGCTTTCAAGAAATTTCTTTTTTGCTCTATATTAAACTCAAACTGAGCTTAGAAATCCAATCAACTCTATTTCTTCGTCTTCTTCTTCTTCTTCTTCTCGATGACAATAACAATTTTTCTTCTCTTCAAAAGTATTGCAAAGTGTTTATTTCAAAATTGTCTCTTCTGCAAAAACACAGAAAAAGGTTCCCCTGTTCTTCTATCGATCGCATTTATTTTTTCTTCACGTACTGCCAAAAATTAATGATTGTTGAGGAAAAAACGCACTGGGATAAGATTTCTCAATGAATAAATTATATAAAAATATAAACTATATAGAGTAAATTGGCGTAATTGTGATCAGTGTCTGAAATCTTTGTAGTATTTTTGATATCATAAAGCTATTTCATCATCTCTTAGATAAAAATCAGATTTATGTAAGTAATTACTTATGTCAGATTTATGTAATTTATGTAACTCAAATTTATGTAATTTATATACTTCAAACTATATATATGTAATTCAGTGTCTTACGAACATATACTTTGCAATCACGTGTTTGTCATATAATATAACTTACGCTCTAAAAGTAATGACATAAATGTCAAGCATTATTTCGGCATGTTTTTGGTTTAAACTATATTTATTATAAGATAAACTTCTTGACACTGCCTGCTAAATCGGCTCGCCATTGTATAGCAAGAAGTGCAAGTTCACGATGCCGTACGTTACCAATAACAATTAGAATGACAAATAAAAACAGAAGTAGAAACAATAAGTATTTTGTATTAATGCTGTAGAGTAGACTTTTCTCGCTTGGAAAGAGCAAAGTTCCATCTCAAAAAGCATAGAAAGCAAGATTTTTGTGACTGAGTCGGAATGAGAAAAAGTTTAAAACTAAAATGTCACCATAAAAACTCTTGTAAAGTGGTTTTTCTCGTTATTTCTTCACTATGGCTTAAAACAAAGCTTCTTTGAAAATTAAAAAGATGAGACTGTAGGTGGTGCAAAACTCTATCGGCCACTTTACTTTTACAAATTTCTCTATAGTTTCTTATTAGTCAAAAAGGACCGCTTTTCGTCGAAAGCACGATTTTATATGAGAAATGTGGCACGTCGAGAACACTTATCCATTCATGGCTCAAAATATGCAAATAAACATTAAAACTAATGTGAATTTGTAGAGAATTGAATGCTGCATCAGAAAATGTGTTTTAGAAAAAGGACGAAGTTTGTTCAGCATATGAAAGTGATTGATTAAGTCTAATTAACCGCTTCTCTCAAACTAATCAAAGACTCGGCAATTTCTCGTTGAAAAGTAAATCAAAACACGCTTTATCATATCACACTCGAAAGAGACATAAACACATTACTAGTTTTGATAATTAGATAATCTCAAACGTATGCTATTATGATGACAAAACTGATTCTAATTTTTATTTTTTCACAAAAATAAAAACAATAAACTGTTCTGTATAAAAATATAAACTGTTTAATTGTTGTTATTCTCGTTTTATACCGAGGCAAATAAATTGAAAAAGTAGGGAACAAATTACTTCACTGGTGCCTCTGCCATGCGAAAGTTATATCCCTTTTCTTCTTTTTATGCTATTGTGCTGTTTAATAATGTTTTAGGAGATAATTCTTAGGGTTAATTTATCGAGTATAAATGATAATTTTGATCTCTAAGTTACTGCTGAATTTTATGGTTCTTGTCTAATATTCACCTTGCACGTCGGCTACCCACGAGTAGGTCATAGTACAATTACCACAATGTTGCTGTGGTGAAAAAGCAAAAAATGTGAGTAATGCTGGTATGTAGCATCAAAACAATGAGTGTATTTTCTATATTTGTCAAAAGACATTATTTTCGCATTTACAAAGACAAAAAGATTAATATGGCATAAAGTTTCAGTCACACACTTACAAATATTCGAAAGGCCTGTCAATATACCTCTCAAAATGTTATCATGTTTCACACACTTGATAGCAGAGTAACAATAGCACACATTCGATCATGTAGCATTTGATTGAAGTTATTCTAATTGTTTGAATGATAAAAATTATAAGAAGATGAAGCATAATAGAAAACTCTACCGTTATTACCTCATACGAAGCACTAAATCTCTATCCAATGATTAATATTGTATACACCCAAAGACTTTGCTGTTTCAATTTTGTATCATAACGGGGGACTCATAAAGAATAAGCTTCTACGTATTTTTCTTATATTTTCTTTGCTTCTATATGTGCTTGTTCTTAAAACGATGTTGCTTTCAGTTTTTAAAAAAAAAATGTCGGGATAGTAATATCATATTTAGTTTAGTATTATTTCTTTCAGTTCATTAAATATTCTCATAACTCACGCAACACAAAATCAACTTAAAGGTAAGTACAATTCTATATTAGAAGTTTATTTTCATATTTTCAATGTAAATTAAATTACGAAGGGCCTAACTTACAGATGTATCGTCTAGTGTATTTACCTTGGAGTAAAATCCTCCGTCAGAGCTGAAATTAATTACCAAAGACAAGTACAGGATGTAAGATGAAAATTTTTTTGTTGCTTTCTGTTAAATATGCCATGTATAATATTCACACTAGTGCATGTATCCGGATTGTATAAACCCATATATTAACAATCTAACAAGTACTGACAAATAGTAAAAGATATAGATTAATAAAAGAGACATACAATTTGTCAGTTAATAATTTTAATCGAAATGATGATGTAGGTGGATGCTCTGTTAGGTATGCTTCCGACTTTTCTCTCACTTGTATCTTGTTTATTTTTATCTATGTATATACCCCCGTCAGAAACATATAATTTTTTATAAAAAAATCGATATTCAGCTACATCATCAAATAGCCCACGGTATCTACCAATGTTATTTGGTATGAAGGTTTTTAAAAAAGTTTTCAAAAAACCTTGAAAAGCTAACTTTTGAAAAAATTTCACTTCTCGATAGAAAAATAAATCTTAAAATATTTTCAACAGTACCAGGATATAGGGCAAACATTTCTAACCAAAATGAGATATCTCCTAGTTTTGAACGATGTTCTATTCAAGAGTTATGAGAGTTTTTCGGAAGTCCTAAAACATGCATCAGATACTGACGCTACTATATCTCGAAAGCGACTTCACCTTAATACCCTTTCGTAGCTGTAAGATTTCTCGGTAAGGAAACATCGCAGAGAGAGCAGAAAGGTCTTAAATCGAAGCTGACACATGTGACTAGGGGCTAATAGAGCCCAATTTTTGATATTCGATCTAGATTTGTGGCAAGAAAATATCTTTATGCAACTTAATGAGACTTTTTTGAATCTTGGACTTTTGATGCTGACCGTTAATTTGAAAAGTAAAATATCAAAAATCCGGCTCTATTAGTCTATAGCCACATGTGTTTTCGTCAGCTTAAGACCATCCCGAACTCTGCACAAGGTTTCGTTCCTGAGAAATCTTGCAGCTACGAATAGCCCATTTCGTCACTGTTGTGGCGATATCTCACAGACCATGCTACCCTCGACAAAAAAATTTGTGAAATCTTATAAGTATCTTATAGGAATCTCATAAGAATTCATAAGAAATTGGTAAGAGTCAGCAAAACTCGTACGTTATTCTTATAAGATTTTTATATAAGAACCGATGACTAGGGTAGATGGAGTCAAACAGAAAATTTCGTCACTATATTTTCATAAGATCAGCATCTACTAATAGTTTGGTCAAAATCGGACTTATACTTTCAGAGATAGGTTTCTGACAGGAGGAGCTTAAAGTTTAAAAAACTAAAATAAAACAAATGAAACCTATTCATAGAAAATCTCTGCGAATATCATCATTATTCTCTTTGCTGTTCTATCTGAAGTAGATAATAATTTTCGAAAATAATACATTTTAGAACGAAAAGAGAAAAGAAAAAACCTAGTCTTAGTTGTTATTTGCATAATTGCAGTGAACGTTTTTTAATTAAAAGATGAAATTATCTCTTTTTTCCTGTTCTAACAGTCAATATGCGACTGGCGAGATCGTTATTCAAGTATTTTTCTGCAACATAGATCAGCAAAAATCTTTGCAGTAGCTTTGTAGATTCTGCAAAGGGTCTCTACAGATTTGAAGCAGATTTGCATTGCAGATAGATTTGATCAAAGATCTGACGCAGATCTGCAAAAAATCTTTACAATTTCTTTGCAGGTGCTTTGCAGAGAAACTG